TTTTTAATAAACAACCCTGGCAGCAACCCTAATTACTGCATATCTTAAAACCCCATAACCTGCATGATATAAGAGGCAGTTACATTAAGGCAAACGCATGAAGTAGCCCCCACCCAACCCCCGGCTCAACAACCAATGAAACACACATTAGGACTAATGTGTACAGTCAAACCGAAAAACAAAGTCTTTGTCTTGGCGCTAAAATAAGATTATTATAAAGCTCCCTCCTCATCAGAGAGTAGTGCAGATCATCCGAACGCCATGACAGATTTAACAGATCATATTTTCACCGCAAGACTGGAGCCAAAATCCTCATAGCGGAGGTCTTGTTGATATCACAGGGACATTTCTTCCGTAAGGTTGCCTACTAAAGTTGTGAAGTGGCCACGCACGCGTGTCGGACAGACTTTCGCTTTCTCTCCACAGATTCTTACGTCATTTTAGATGAGAAACTGGCGATCCTCGGTAAAAAAATTCACGTCAATAAATATTACACCTAGTGAGGACACGGTCAAAGAAGAGTTGTCTTGAAGCAGTCGATAACTGAAACCGCGCGTTCAAGTCCCGGTATTGGCACGTTCGCAACAAGGCGTACTGCACCCGTCTGTCTGTTCACATGCAAGACCCGAGAACTTCTGAGCCACATCTCATTAAATTACATGTACAAGAACGCATTGGCTTTCTCCACCATCAGACAAGAAAAATGGACGCGTTACATGAAGGCTCATATCCGAATATCGGCTGCAACTAAGGCCTGAATAAGCGGCCTCCGTAGTCTAGAGGTAACGTTCCCACCTCATGACTCGTAGTACGCCGGTTCAAATACCCGGCGGATGTCGTCGAATTTTTAAGGGCGGAAAAATTCAGGGAACAAGTCCTCCGGGAGGGACTTTAAGCCGTGGGTCCCGTGTCGTAGCTTTACGGCACGTAAAAGAACCTCATATCTCCAAAGGACACTGAGCCAAATTACGGACGTTTCCCGCCCAATAGCAGTCTCTAATACCTCTGGTAGATGGGGGAAGCATTATAGATACCTCTCAGCTAGTAGAGCCAGTCTCGCTGGCTGGGCGGGACTGATTGTAAGCACCAGTACCGGCAGGATATAGAGACTGGTAGAAATCATAGAGGGAAGCACAATGGACCAATACAGGTCTCAGCGCATGGGGAAACCCACCCTCTCCAATAACTAACTAACTAACTAACTAACTAACGAAGGCCTGAACAGGTAAATGGTTCCAGACAAAAGTTGTCAAGATTTCATATTTTGTATAAGTTATTTTTCTTTTGCTTTGGTTATTTAATGACGCTGTCAGTATCATCATTATATAGTGTCGAAACTGGTTCAGGGAAACGTGCAATATACGTACATGCCACTTGTAGGGATGACTATAGATGTGGGTTTAGATTTGTGAATGGGTTTATTCACCACTTAAACACGCGATTCGGAACTACACGCAGTTACAGATTCACTGCTAATCTCCACAATTCATAAATCACCACAGCACCCCCTAAGCCTTTTCCAATCTGCTGTGTCTTTACCAGCCGTTCCCTGGCAACGGCTTCTAAAAGTGGAGATTCTTCAGCTTCCGAGCTCATGTCGTTTCTTCACAGCCTCCTGTACAGAGCTCAACTATCCCAATAACTGACTCTGTCACATGCTTATATCTCGGCACGTATTACACAGAAAAACGCCCGTTTCCAAAAGTAACTCTATTGTTCCATGCGGATTCGTTGCAGCGGGAACGTGTATAGAGAGCCGTTTCCCAGAAATGGTCGCTGTTTACAGAGTCACCGCTTAGCAACGGATCTATACGCCANCTATGGAACCCGAAGGTTTATTACCATGTTCACAAGAGCCCTTCACTGGTCCCTATCCTGAGCCAGATCAATCCAGTCCATACCACCCCATCCTATATCTCTAAGATTCATTTTAATATTATCCTTCGACTTATGTCTGGGTGTTCATGGCTTTCCCACCAATAGCCTATATGTATGTCTCTTCTCTCCATTCGTGCCACATGCCCTGCCCATCTCTTCCTAATTGACTTCATAATTCTAATTATACTTGGAGAAGAGTACAAGTTATGAAGTTCCTCATTTTCTAGTTTTCTCCAACTTCCTGTCACTTCATCTCTCTTCGGTCCAAATATTCTCCTCAACACCCTGTTCTCAAACACCCTCAGTCTATGTTCCTCCCTTAATGTTAGAAACCAAGTTTCACACCCATACCGGATAACATTCATGGTTTCAAAATGAAATTTGAATTTGAATACAATCCAGTGGCGGCCTCTAGTGAACAAGGTAATGAAACTTCATGCGGAAATTCTTGACTGGGACAGTAGATATTGGTACCTCAAGGTCTCTGCTCAGCGGAGTTTGTGAGGGGAATGCAAAAGTCTACACATCTGAACCAAACAACAAAATGTTGTTCTGAAACAACCAACTCCCTCGCTCTGTGGCCAATTAAGTCCTGCTTCAGAGAAGAAGGCCCCAGCTTAGAGACCGAGGATGTGATACCGCGCTGCCTGATCAGGGTATCGCACGCCCCACGGAGGCGGTGACAGATTACTGTGCAGCAATGGTGGAATGATGAGTGGCAAAGAAAACCCGAAGAAACTCTCAGAAAAAAATACGTAGTTCGAATTCGCTCACTATGAAACCAATAGGGATCGAACCCGACGATCCTCAGTGAGAGGTCCGTACCAAACTGCCTCACCAAAGGCACGACAGCACAGTACACCATAAACAAATGAATAAACAAGACAGCATAAGGAATCGTAACAAATTAATCCTTGTCTGTGGGAAAGCGATTGCAATGTGTATGCTAGAATTACTTGAAGGGATCTGAAGTCATTAAGTTGGCAAACTTGCTTCATGCCATCAATTATTTCTGTGTATTTCACTGTCTCTTTCCTTCTTCTTCTGGTATTAGTCTCTCTCTTTGCTTCTCACTCCTCTCGTTTCCCTCTCATATCATTCTTTATAGACCATTATTATCTCTCTCTCTCTCTCTCTTCTTCTCCAGCCGCCATTTTTGGCCGTATGCTTTCCACCCCGCGTGAGATGTTTTACTCCCAGCGTGGAATAACCAACCTTTATAATTCGACCAATCGCAGGACGCATGCGCTGACTAGGAGCCAATCCCGGAGCTCCATTTTCGATGTCGGTCCAGTCATTATTATCGCTATAACAAACGTTACAATAAAAAACACGAGCAACTTAGGAGAAAAGAAAAGCCTCGACTCCATTTTTCTGATATTCTTGAAAAGACATGACGAGGAGCTTTTGAAAAGGGGGGAGGGGGTATGCAGAGGGATCTTGTTACGATAAACTGGTACAGTCTCGTTAAGAATTGCTGAAACCTTACACAAAGTGGAGCAGGATTTAAAAACACGAAACTCCAACCTGGTGACCCATTTTTAACGTTCCTTTGATGTACGTCATAGACTTCAACATCCGTGAGCGCAACGTGGGAACTTTTTAATGACCATCAAAATAAATCTCCTTGCTCTGAGGTCCCCAGATTACCCTTCCAATTAAATAAACTCACAATTAATCACAAAATCAACATTTTGCGGCCTTTGTTTGCAAATCCTCACGAAACTTACTCTCTAACGTGAATAAACAAGTGATTTCCTTGAACACAGGCTAATAAGCGTCTCTCAGACCCTGAATCACTCGCAGGATACGCGTCGTTTTATATGTCTCCATGATTTTCTCTTCTTCCATAGTTTGCGTATTATACACATCCATGGAGCAGAGTCGTTCACAAGCTGACAGTCGCTTAGCTAGACAACGAATTCTCCACATTCATACATGTGTTCACAATAGCCTGATATTTCAACTGTTTCGTTAACTTCCAGTTTAAAGACCTAATACGAACATGCCATCTGCATCCAGGTCTGTCGAAGTTGCCTTTCTTCTGGTTTTGGACTGACATTCTTTGCCACATGCAGTTCCCATCTCCAACCATGCATGCTACATGTCTCGGCCTTGGCGTATGAAGTGATTTCATCCATGTTGACTATAGACTCGCAACATCTGGCTTACAGCTGTGGCGTTGCTAACGAAGAAATAAATAATTTCAGCTGCTTCGTATTCAGTAGCTACCGCGTTCGAATATCGCTCTTGAGACAGACCATCATGATCGAATTTTTGGTTTTCTTCAGTCCCTCCAGATAAATTCAGGGATGACTGAGGTCCACCATCGTTTTCCTCGTGACCTCCAGATAAATTCAGGGGTTGCAATCCTACCGCAAAATCGGGCTTGAAATATTCCAGTCTTTCCAGTTCGGTACTGACTATGTGAGATTCGAAGTTATGACGACAGTGATGTGCCACCGTGCATTCTGGTGGATATCATAAAAGATTCAATTGAATACTCTGCTTCTTTCTTCGTGGTAGAAAACTAAGACAATGAAAGAACGATGACACACTGGATGTCTTTCCCTTCCCGTGGTCTATTCTACTACCCTGAAGATTGAGGCACCAGGTTCTTTCGAAACATTTATCCGACTACATGGCACCACCCACGGTAGTCACTGTTCGTTAATCATTCTCATGTTATATGCTGACCTGCATAACCTGACCTACTGACAACGCCGTTAAATACACCACAAATAAACCGATTCTCTGACACACAAGAGAACTGTCTTGAAGCACAGCATTTTCAGAATAAGGAAAACTGATTTTGTAAGAGAAACGTCCAGCGTCCGCTCTGTTCGGAGTAACTAACGGCTTTGTGGCTGCACTTTAAACGTCAGTTCTCAGCCCAGAGCGCTCTGGCCTCAGTAGTTATTAAAGTACACGGGTACAGAATTGTCATTTCAGCCGAAAACCACAGAGCGCCATGGGCATCCCTTTCCCTCACATTTTTCGAAAAACGGAAAATATCAAATTTGAAAGAAGAAAATTCCAAATATTATATCGAAATATGTTGTAAGCTAGACACGCTACTGAGGTCTACAAGAACATGTGTAGATTGCCTCTCCTTGTTACAGTGGGGCCCGGCAACATGGCGCTAGTCGACAAGGACGGCAAGAAGAAACACACGCGGCCCACGTTCAGCGGACAGCAAATCTTCGCGCTCGAGAAGACGTTCGAACAGACCAAATATCTGGCTGGACCTGAACGGGCAAAGCTCGCCTATGCACTGGGCATGACTGAGTCACAAGTCAAGGTACGTGCTGAACTGCTTACTTCAAACCCTTTCACAGTTACATCGTTATGAATAGTTGCACACTGCCAAGATAATAAACAAGAACGTTACAATGTGCGTGACTTTCCCGTTTCACCTACGATTCTACTATTATCTCTCTCTCTTCAGGCTTCGAAGGCCTGACATTCTGGCCCCACTCCGAGCAGCTTGTTTACATTAAGCGCCGCGAGGCGACAGGGGGGCGGGGCAACAAATTGCAGTTTAATTCGTCGGGCGTAGCGGGAGGGGCGCGTTGCAGCACCCCTGAGTGCCCACAGCTAGGGCTCACTCAAGGCCCAGAGCAGACTACGTGGTCTCTTCCAGCCCACAGGCGTGAGCATGCTCTGTGTCTGCGTGTCTGTCCAGCTGCGAGCTCCGGCACCTTTATTCTCCGCAGACCTAAACGGCCGTGAGTAGAAGGGGAAAAAGAAGAGCAGAAGATGGAATTGGAAGAGAATAGAACAATTAAAAGAAGGGTGGATGAAGGAGAAATAGAATAAGACAAGGAAAAAAACTAGGAGGAAAAGAGAGGAGCAGAAGGATAAGAGGGCGTAATAGGAAGAACACATCGAGGAGAGAAAGAAAAGGAGATGGAGTAGGAAGAGAATAGAACAATTAAAAGAAGGGTGGATGAAGGAGAGATAAAATAAAACAAGGAAAAAGAACTAGGAGGAAAGAAGAGGAGCAGAAGGACAAGGGGGCGTAAGAGGAAGAACACATCGAGAAGGAGAGAAAGAAAAGGAGATGGAGTAGGAAGAGAATAGAACAATTAAAAGAATGGTGGATGAAGGAGAGATAGAATAAGACAAGGAAAAAGAACTAGGAGGAAAGGAGAGGAGCAGAAGGATATGGGAGCGTAAGAGGAAGAACACATCGAGAAAGAGAGAAAGAAAAAGAAATTGAGTAGGAAAATAAATAGCAGCATAGGAGGAGAAAAAGTGGAATGAGGAGAAGGACAAGAAGACGTGGTCAAAGAAGGAAGGAACAGAAGGAACAAAAGAGTGGACAAGATTAAATAAAAAGGAAAAAATATGGAAACAAAGAAGAAGGAAGAAAAGCGGGAAGGTGAAAAAGAAGAACAAGGATGTGAAGAGAGAAGGAAACAGAGGAATAAAACTGAAGGACAAGAAAACGGGAGATAGAAAATAACAAAGAGAAGAGGGCAATATAAACACGGACGCAAAACTTCTCCTTAAGCCTTGGCTCCTGGCAACACGACACAATGACTGAAGAATCATCACTGAAAGCGGTATGGTGACACCGTGATCACATTTGAAAATATCAGCATCCTGTTATCAGCAACACCAGCCCTAGCTGCTGAAATGGAACAGGCAATATGGTATTTTCCAATGCTATCTTTTGCAAGACCTAGGTGTAGATGGAGGGATAATATTAGAATGGATTTAAAAGAAAATAGGTTTACATTTAAACTGGCTTCATCTGTCTCGGGGTAGGAACAGCGACGGGCTATTGTGAACACTCTAATGAACCTCGGGGTTCCATAAAAGGCAAATAATTTCTTAATTAATTGAGCTACTATCAGCTTCTCAAGCAGGACTCCGCTGTAAGGATTTAACTAGCTACTTAGATGTCGATGTAACGAAGAAATGTTTGTATAATCGTAACAAAGGAATCATTATNACAGGTTGAGATCTCTGATGAGGTCATTTAACTCATCCTGGTTAAAACGTTGAGGGATTGACGACATCCCTTCATAATCACTGTCACCTTCATTACAATCAGAAGGGTGATTAGAGGGAAAATACTCATCATACAAAAACGCTGATCTAAAAAAGTAGAGCTGGTAGAGAAAAACTGATTTTATATTTAGATTCAGCGCCTTAAATATAACTAAAATTAGTTCTAAAATCCTAGACACCAAAAAAAAATTTTTTTTTTGTAGGCCTGTGTTATGGGAATCCAAACAGGCCTACGTCACGCAATACAAACTTACGTGGAAGCGCTAACGCTGCAACTGGTATTCAAGCCTTCAAATGGTCCTTGAAGTTCAGATTTTCCAACCAAATTTTTCCATGTAACTTACTTCTCATATGCCCATGCTACACGCCGCCATTTTATTCACCTTGATTTTGTGTCCCTAACAGGCTTATTTCTATAAGTACAGGAAACACAAGTTTCACTCACAGGGAACCGACCCTTGACCACCATGTCCTATCTTCGCGTAGACCCTAACAGTAGCTGTCAATATCGGCCTATATAAGACAGCGTCGTCGTAAACCTTTGGGAAACAGCAAGAATTATCTGGAGTCTAGCTCCAACTGTCAGTACAACTCACAAGAGGCATAAGTACTGGGCCCAACATGAATAGCTTCCCATGGTATTTGACAGTCGGAAGATGCTGTGTTTTTCATTTTTGTTAAGTAGAAGTCAAACTTATGTTACGACCGACGATCAGTCGGCCAGTCTGTCTTGGTGTCAATCCCCATCCGGGGCCAAAGATTGGATTTTTGTTACTGCCAGACAGTTGCGGATTTGTTGACACGGAACGCCCTCCCTGACGAGAGGACGGGTATGCCGTTTACAGTTGCTGTTGGTCCTCGTCAGCGCAATCAATCTTGGGTACAAGGCCAAGTCCCCGTATTTATGTCTCCCAGGAACAGGGTGACCCAGTTATACCCCCAGGCACTGGGTTTCCTTTTCGTCGCCTCCTACGATTCGCAGGGCTACGGTGGAGGTATTCGAATCGATTTTGTTAACGTATGAAGTTTATGTAATATCTAGTTAGTTCGTACCTCGCGGGAAACACAAAGTCCAACCGGTTAATGCTGTTTAGGAAAATAATCGCTGTTTACTGTGAGAACCATATGGAACACATAAATACACTGTGTGGGCAGAATGTAGGGTTCTTGATGTTAAAGTTACCACTGTGTTTTCAACGATTGTACACCTTTGCTTACGGAGCATGATGACTATAGAAATTGCAGGGCAACTCATTTCCTGTCTTTAATCAAAGTATGTGAAATTTAATCTAAAACATCCGGCAGTATATCCGGAGGCAAATGACTTCAAAACGGCAAGTTTGTTTGCTTCATTGCCACACGCTCAATTTCATTTTGAACAATACCGTGTTCAGGAGCCCGCGGTAGTCCAACCACCTTCCTTCTCACGCACAGCAATTGGGCTCTGACTGCAGCGAACCTAACCTCACTTTAGCTCGTCTTTTCATATGTAAATTGTTATGGAGCTGTTTAGAACCGGACTGGGGCTTTCAACCCACCCAATTGCTTTGTGCCTTGATTAGATTCAGTGCGCCGAAACTGCAGCTCACAGAGGGCAGGAGGGATGGGGGAGTAAGAGGGATATTTTTACTCTGAACATCATTTCAGAATGAGTACGGTATTATAAGAAGAGAAAAGAAACAGATAGCGAAGAAAATAAGAGATTTCAATGTGGTAGACATGCCTTATGGTATTACTAAGTTAAAAGGCTATTCAATTCCCCTTTCCACGCTGTATGTCTACTATTTCCCTAAGGGATCTAAAAGTTTCTCTCGTCACAGTAATAGGCTTATTCTAAACTGGATCAATTTGTTAGGAATTGATGTTGTGAGGCCGAATGTCTAGCACTCGTTCCTAGTATTTTGGAAGTCTCGAATTCCAGGCTAAACCCCAGAAACCGCCGATTCGACTGAGATTTGTCGCGGGACGTATTGGTTGCTTTGTCTAGACGCACAGGCAGTTATGTGCTAATCGTCACTTTGCTTGAAGCTGGGGCTGCAGTTCGAGTGACTGAAAGTTTCGTTATGGTAATATACATAGGGTCTAAGAGGTAAAGTTGTCCCTGTGCTTAACAAATTAAGCACTACGCCATGAAGGCTTATGGAGGAACTGAGGTATAGTTCCATATTTTCTTCACCTCGGCTCTTGCTGGAGGTGAGTTGTCAGCTTATCGCCCCGGCCGCTTTACCTCAAGGGAAAGAGCCTCGTACTCATTGGGTAGGAGGTTTGGTGGACCCCAGAGTCGGTTAAGTCGACGTGGAGAAAAGAAAATTGTTGACCCTACCGGAACTCGAACTCAGACCCCTCGGTCGTCCAGCCCATGGCCAGTCGCTATACCGATTACAATATCCCGGCTCCTACTGTTGGGGCTTCCTTCCAATTCATCATTCGTCTATCAAGCGGCACTGGATACTATATATTCACTCTATTGACGTCGGAACATATACTACGAAAGCGACGTTCACCAATGTCCCAGATATGGAGCAGATGTGAAATGTCACAAGGCTATTGAAATTATATCACTTAAACCTTGCGTCAGTTGTTCACGCATTCTAATTGAAAAAATTGCAGAAATGTGTGTATTAGCTTTGTCATATGTGTCCTCATGCAATGACTCGAAACCCGTTCAAAGAATTTTCATGAAATTTCATTTGAGGACGTTCCATTACAATATGTCAATATATTAAAATCGGGCAACAACAAGACGGCTTCCTTACATGAAGATCCACGCTCGTTTCTGCACGCATCTCTCGAGCGCAACTCCCTTCATATCTATTGGGCGGAAACTCTTAAGGGCAAAAGGCCGAAGAGAAAAAAAAAAAATGCACATAACCTCTAAAAAATTTCCTGAGTCAGCATAGATGTCCCAGATTCGAACCAAACATCTCACGAATACAAGTCTGAAGCCTTTTTTTTAAATTCGCTTAGTGGGGGTCCAACTGGGTCCACTCGGCACGGCGGCCACTGATTGGCCTATTGTAGCCCGCCCCGGGTGATTATGATGATGGAGAATTTGGTGGAATGAAGACTAGCAGGGTAAACTGAAGTACTCGGAGAAAACCCGCCCCAGAGCGACTTTGTCCACCACAAATCCCACTTGACCAGACCCGGGATCGAACAGGACCGCCGCGGTTGGAAGCCAGCGACTAACCGCTTGAGCTAAATTTCTCGGCGTTTCGATTATGTGTTACCTAACCCCGCAGACTGTCCGTCCCCCTTGCGTATAGCTGAATTCGCCAATTT